GGTATTTTTTATTAAAAAAAGTTGTATAGTAAGTCCTCACTTAATGTTATCCATAGATTCTGTGATTTTAAGCAAAATGAAATAAAATGAAAACCAGTTTTACCATAGGTTGATGGATAGAAGTGTTAAATTCCTAGGACCTCTCATTAGTGTTACAGAGAAACAACACTGACTGAAATGATGTTATTTGAGGACCTGTGGTACTTGCTCAGTAGTCATGACTCTTCTCTCATCTTCCCAGTTCCATAAATCAGGCTCACTTATGTTGACTACACTTGAGGCAGTTCATTTTTTTCTCACTTGCTAAATAAAAGGCTTCATCAGAAAATATATGTGTGTGTGTTTTATACCTATTATGTCACTTAGATGAATAGGTGATATAATGTAAGGTTTGTGAGATATTCAACTAAAATCACTTTTGAAATACTAGGCACAGTATTTAAAAACAGATTATCAGTCTGTAAAAAAATAAACCAAAGAAGCACGTTTAAAAAAATTTTTTCCCCAAAAATTCTTTTGGTGATCCATTTTTTATTACTTGTTTTGATAGTGTGTCACAGGAAGTTTTATCTTTAATTGTAGATATCTTAGAAGGTTAATGGAAAGATTTGCTATAATGCCTTATATATTGTCATTGGGAGAAATCTGTCATTTCTTTTTAAAATGAAGTGAGCAGCAATAAATAGCATTAGACATACTTGTTGTTAACCTCTTCTTTAGAAAATAACTTGCCACTTGACATAAATATAATTGGTGAGCCATAGAGAAGGTCTGTAGTTAAACAGCAGAGTTAATGAATGTCTTTTTTCTTTCTTTCCCTTCTTTTGGTCTTTAAAGATGCAGTTAGCTCAGGCTGTTTGAAATGATTTTCTTTGAATGTGTTGTGACATTGTTTTAATTGAATGAAGCTGCGGAACTAGCATGATAAATCAACACAGAATGAATTTTAATGCAAGGCAAACGATATTAACTTGGAAATTGGCTGCATTAGACAAAGCAGCTGCTATGATTAATTTTTTCATTCTCTACTTACAACATTCTCAGAAGGATGACCTTGACAGTGTCAATTGTATTAGAATCCCAGTGGTATGTACTTGAACACACTTGAGCTGTGGTGTTTGTTAGTTCTTAGGTAATAGAGATTGGTTCCTTTTTAAGGTTATGAAAATTTTGTGTTACAGATTTCATTTTTGGTTTTGACTACTTAAAAAAACATTTCTTATCAATAAATAGTAACTGTGAGGATTATTTAGCTGTAGTGGTCTTTTTCTATATAATTTTAATTTCATGTTTCCAGCAGAAGAGGTTGAATATGTGAAAAGAAATGGATGTACCAAAGAGGGTCTTCTAAGTGTAAATATGTCTTGAAGTGTAGGCCGACCTGGTTTGATAAAGGACAGAAGTAAAAAACAATTAGTATTTGAAGCCCTAAAGGGCCTATATTCATAATGTGTTTTTCCAGACATTCTTTGCCATATTTTAGATATATGATATATATCCAGTATATGAGTTGCTTTGGAAAAGGATCTATTTAGAGCACACCTATTACTGAGTTATAGCTGTCAATGCTAGTTATTTTAAGAAACAGTTGAGGTAACAGAGTAAAGGGAATTTCTCCTCTTTCTCTTCTTTTTTTAATCTCTACCATTTCTTTCACTCTTTACCACATAGCAGACCTTGAATAAATGTTTGATTGAGTTGAATTGGAAAACAGGAGGTGTTTTCTATTCAACAGAAAAATATCCAAAGTAAACAAAATGAGTGAGGAACGGATGTAGAGATTCTTGATTTAAACTGTTTTGAGGAGGGGAGGTGTGGGAATGATGTTCTATTGAATCTGTAACTATATAAAAAGGTGATGTTCATAAGTTGCAGAAAAATAGGAAGAGCTTGTTGTAGGTGAACATAGTGCCAGGCCTATTGATAAACTTTCTGTGAAATGTGTTTTCTCTTGTCCTCTGACCCTTATTCTAATATATTTTTACTTTATACTGCCTGAAGCTATGTCAATTTTAGATCTATTTAGATTAAAAGGCAACCCCTTAAAAATGCCATGGGCTTCTCTTTTTAAGGACTATTAGGGTAATTCAGAGTATGTGAGCAATTCTAGTAGAATCAGACAAAATAGGGGAAAAAATATGCATTTGAATATACCAGAGAGCCAGCAAAGTTGTGAAGAATTACTAGTTTAGGATCCTGAGGAGGACAGATGATTAAGAATGTCATCTTGGCTTCTGGAAACTGCTTTTCCTCTGGGTGTGGCTGCTGAATGTGCTGAGGGCAGCTGGGAGACCGACGGGGGCTTAGTCTGAGTCTGTAGCTGTCTTTGGGTCTCCTCATTCCCATTCTTAGCTTTGGGAGCAGATTCTGGTGAGTGTTTCCTAGGCCCTCGAGATATTTCATGTCAGCCTCAAGTTTGCTCTGTATCAGTAACTGAAATCTTTCTGAGGCGACCCTGGGTTGCTCATAGCTGTGATGAATATATGCTCTCTCTGGATATCATTTTAGGCCTTATATTATTTCTGTAAACTAGTACATACAGTGTCTGCATTTCACTAAAAACAGAAGGTAAGATGACATTAACAAAAATATGAAGAAACAACGAAACAATAGAAACATCCCCAGGGACTGTTGACATTAGAATGACAAGGCTCAGGCTTTATGTAAGCCATACTTATTATATATGAAGACAGAAGACTACTATACATGAGACAGGAGACAAGTTGGAGAAGTATGGCATAGAAATGGTAACTAAAAAAGAAATAATAAACCAAAACAATTTTTAACTGGAGTAACAGGTTTAACAAGATTAGAACCACTTTAGGAGAGAATTAGTGAACTGGAAGATAGATCAGAAGAAAGTACTCAGCATTGAGAGGCAGAAGGGTGGAAAAACTAGGAGGGAGTGTGAAAAATCAAAGGAATGTAGTAAGAACATTCAGTGTAAGCATTTGGAGTATTAGAGAGAGAGAGAGTGTGGGACAGAAGCATTGTTTGAGGAGAGTGTTGACAAAGTCACGCTAATGAAACTGAACCATAAAACAAATACTATACCTAGGCACATCATAGTAAAACTGCTTAAAGCTAATGTTAAAAAAGAAATCTTAAGATAAAGGTTATCTTCAGAGAAGCAACCATTAAAGCGGATGACAGCAGGGCTTCAGGTTGGGTAAAGAGGTAAATTACTATATGCTGGGGAACTAGGCAGGGATAAGGGATAATAGAGAGAGATGGTCAGGCAAATTTCCAAATTTGGGATCTTGTGGAGCTAGATCAAGTGCTTACAGGATCAGTCTCAACTTGGGGTGGAAAAAGTTGTGTCCAAATCTGAGGGAAGAGGCTTTCTTCCAGCTGTGCACATGTACTCTCCGTCTTTCGTCTGCGAATTGCTTAAGATATGGCCGTGCTGGTGAGCAGTTTGGGGCGGCAGAGTAAGAACCAGTAAGATGAATAAGTACCCTAGCTTCTTAAGCTTGACAGCATGCATTTTCGCATATGGTTTTCATGTAGTGGCGTTCCAGCTGTGGGTCCCTGCAAGGAGAAGTAGCAAGCTGTCTGCGTAAGAATCATCACCTTTGGATTTTTGTGGAAGTGATGGTATACACTCTTTTTTTTTTTTTTTTATCCTCACCCGAGGACATTTTTCCATTTTTTGTACAGACAGAGTGGGAGGGAGAGAGAGGAAGAGAGAGAGAGAGAAACATCGATGTGAAAGGGACACATCGAGTGGCTGCCACCCGCACGACCAACCAGGGCCGGGGACAAACTGCAACCAAGGTACATGCCCTTAGCGGGAACCGAACCCGGGTCTCTCCGGACCGCAGGCGGGCGCTCTAACCGCTGAGCCAAACCGGCCGGGGCTACACTCATTTTTTGTCTTTTTTTTTTTATCCTCACCCAAGGACTTTTTTTTGCATTTATCTTGAGATAGAGCGGGAGGGAGAGACAGAGAGAAACATTGATGTGAGAGAGACACATCGAGTGGTTGCCACCTACACAACCCTAACCGGGGCCGGGGACAAACTGCACCCGAGGTACGTGCCCTTAGCGGGAACCCGGGCCTCTCTGGTCTGCGGGCTGACACCATAACCGCTGAGCCACACCGGCCAGGGCTCATGTTTGTTTTTTATGCAGATGACAGGTGAATGAGAAAATTTACTTTTTAGTATTCAGAGTTGATCTATTCTTTACCTTGCCTCCCCCCACCCCCAAAAGAAACCCTATAAACTTTTGTATATGAATGGTAGAAGTTTCTAATTATTTATTTATGCAATTATTTTTATCACTGCCCTATTCATGAAAAGAGTTCTGCCTTTTTGCAAAAGTAGTAGTATAAGTTAAACGTAGAAATGGAAAAAATAAAAAATAAATATGCAGATGTAAAATTTTCAAGGAATATGATGAAAAAGCATATACTTTCAAGACTTAAATGTTTAATACAGGATGGAATCCAATTTTGTCTACTAGAATAGAGTTCTGACAGGCAACACAAAAATACAGTCTTTGAACAGTTGCTTTGGAGAAAATATAACTTTACTTATAAGATAAATAACAGGAATTTTCCCCAAGGGTTTTAGTTAAGAAAAGAAATTACTATTTAAAACATAATGAACAGTTCCCTGAACACCATCATTATAGAGTTTTGTGGAACTCTTGTAATGGATGCATTCTTCTGTGACATCCAAGATTTTATCATATAGCTTGGTTTAGATTACATGTTGATGGACAGTTCAGTATATTTTTCCAGATAGATTGTATTGTTCCTCATTTATAGTTTGTATTAATACATATGAAAATTTTGTGCTAAACAATGAGCTATTGTACTTATAACCCCCCCCCCCAAACCTGGCAATAAATTAATAAGGACTCTTAATTTTATTTCAACTTAGTATTAAAAAGTATTTAATTTGAGAAAGTTAATTTCTGTTTTAAAATAATTTTAACAGCTGTAAATTCAAGCAAGAGAATAATATATGGTGACCTTTTTTTTTCTTCCCCAGTTTAATTTTGTTGGGAGAATCCTTGGACCTAGAGGACTTACAGCTAAGCAGCTTGAAGCAGAAACGGGATGTAAAATTATGGTCCGGGGCAAAGGCTCAATGAGGGATAAAAAGAAGGTAAGTTTTTGAAAATGGAGGCAAGTCTTTATGTGAATAATTTAATTAAACTTTGGCATTCTAATAAAATACTCCGGTTTTTTGTACATAAAGCACTGTGCATTATTTCACGTCAGACAGGTGAACATTTTAAAGGTGTTATCGTGATTTTGCCCTGCTAATTATCATTTTTCAGTTAGCCAACTAAAGTATCATTCAGGCAATCATGTTAACTTACTTTGGTTTTTACAATTGAGAAGTTTCCAGTAAAATATGTAACTAAAAGTTTGGGAAATCTAAAATGTTTCTTTTGATACTTTCTTGAAAACAGTCAAATGAGTAAGTTTGCATGTATGTCAAATTGTTAGGAAAGTTATAAGCAGGTAAAGAAGGCTTATAATTAGCCTTTTTTTGGTTTACCAACATTTGTGTTGATTGTACGTTTCATAGACATTTTACTTTAAAATATATTGTTTCTGTTTTTCTTTTCTCCTGCTACTTCTTGTTTTTCTAGTTTAGTTAATAAAGACCTTACTATGTACTTGAAATACTGTGTTTAGGAAGGTTTTTTTTTCTTTCTTTAATTGATTTTAGCGAGAGAGAGAGAGAGAGAGAGAGAGAGAGAAACATTGATAAGAGAGAATACTGACTAGCTGCCTCCTGCATGACCCTCACTGGGGATTGGGCCCACAACCTGAACATGTGCCCTGACCTTACATGAGCCACACCAGCTGGGTTAGGCAGGTTTTGTTTGCCTAGTTTCCTTTTATTGAGTAAATACTTTTGACTTTCTTTTTGTGTAAAAAATGTTGATGTATTTTTAAAAAATAACCCAGATTTTGTTGCCAATTATTACTTATTGTTAGGAAGGTTTTCTTGTTTGTTTGTTTGTTTTTTAACACATTGCTTTGAGAGGACTATTAGATGGCAGGCCTGTGGCCAGCTTATGACAGCGCATGCGCATGGAATCACTTCAGGGAGCTCGCCACATGACACCAGACCACGGGCTCTCGCTTCATTTTCCTGCGCTGCTTTTCTGCCCTCCCACCTCAGTCTGTTTCAGCTCTCCCATGAGCTGACTGAATCTCAGTCATTTTTTTCTCCTTGTAAACAAATGAGTTAGTAGCTAAGAAGTTGGGGTAAAATGTCCTCATTGATAATATCTTTAACCTTATTATAACTTGTTCTTGTCATCTGAGTTCAAAGGTAACTTTGAGGCAAGCATGTAAGTTCCCCTTGAGTATATTTAGAAGTATTTAAAGTATATTTTATTAAGATCTTAAGTATTAAGATTCTAGTTTTTGATTCAACTGGGTGGCATGTAGTTTTGTATTGCCATGCAGTTTTGTTTCCCATGTTTGTACGTATGGTTGCATTGGCATTAAGTAGTTCTAATTTCATAGCTTGGGCACAAGGAGATGAAATCTCAACAACTGAAGGACAATTCCTCATCAAAAGATTAGTGTATCCATCAATTTTAAAAGTTACTCTTATCAGTCAGTTAACAAAACATGTGTTTTCTTCCCTTCAGTCTCTGTTAATCCTGTAGTAGAGGCCTCCGTTTACTCTACTTGTGCACACACAGACCTCGTGGATGAGAGCTTGGAAATGTGTAGTGAGACATGATCAGTTCTGTTTTCAATTGGGGTGAATTTGTAGCCTGAAGCACTTTTTCTGCTCTCTTTGGCAGAACAACAGAGTGGTTAGGAGATTGAGCTTTGCAGCCACATTGCTTAGGTTTGAATCTTGGGTCTGTCACTTAGCAGCTTTGTGAACGTGGACAAATTACTCAATCTCTTTGTGGTGTATAAAATGGGACTAGTCATGTCACTTATCCCATATGGTGATTATGAGGATTAAATTAGTCCTAAAGCGCTTAGAACAGTGTTTTGGAGTATAGTAAGTGATCATTTAATGTTCTTAATAAGCTTTATTTTAACACTATTTGATAGCACATTTTATGTTTAAACTCTTAGGTGTACTATGGGAATTCTGTGTTTTAAAACTTTGGAAATGACAGTACGTATTGTTTTGTGACCTTTGAATGTCCCATATTCTCATGGCTTTTCTGTTCTGATTCTCTGGTTGTTGGGTATCCGTATTGTATCTTATCTACTTTATTCTTACCTACAAGTAGAAGCAGTTCACTCATTTTATTTATGTATTTGTTTAATCCTCACTTGATACTTTTTTCCATTTTATCTTTAGATAGAGTAGGGAAGAGAGAGAGCGGGAGAAACATCGATGTGAGAGAGACATATCGATTGGTTGCCTCATGCACGACCCCCGACCAGGTCCAGGGACCTGTCTGCAACCGTATATGCCCTTGACTGGAATTGAACCCGAAACTCTCTGGTCTGCAGGCCAACATTTGAACTGCTGAGCCAAACTGGCCAGGACACATTTTACTTGTTTTTAATTAGTACTGTTGTCTACTGAAATTTTAAAAAGCTTGCAGTGAGTGGAAGGGAGGGGGAGCGAGGGGAGTAGAAGGGAGGGAGGGAGGGAGAGAAAGACAGACAGACAGACATGAATGTGAAAGAGACATATCAATTGGTTGCCTCCTGCATGGCTTGGGGATCGAACCTGCAACCCAGGTACATGCCCTTGGTCAGGAATCGAACCTGCGACCCTTCAGTATGCAGGCTGACCCTCTAACCATTGACCCACACTGGCCAGGGCAGTTGGCTGTTATTTTGAGAAAGACCCTGACAAACAGATGGAGACAAAAAGAGGTACTGATGTAAATAAGCCTGGTTGGGGTGTATTTCTGGTGTTACAAAGGAAAATCCATTTGACTTTAATTTTTTTCTGCAGAGTTGTCAGTTTTTGCCAAAGCGCAGAAAGCTAGAAATTAAATCTTAATTTATTGATTATGATAGAAATGCTGTTTACTGATCTGTATTCTTCACTAGACAGGTATACTCAGTGGGGGCAAAAGAAACCATGTCTATTTTATGGAGTGTTTCCCTCGTGTTTGAATACCTGGCACACAGTAGGACCTGGATAAAATATCTGGGAAAGGAATACATGTTTCATTTAGGACCTAAATGAAAGGCATAGATACCCGTTCCTCTCTGACTTCCCAGATCCCCACAAAAGATTTTATAAATAGAGAAAATTCTGTTGTGAGATGGACAGCACTAATCTTTCTAAACTGCTGGTTTGAAGCAGTCAAGTGAATTTGCCACTTCAGTTTTTATTCTCTTGGGTTGATATTATCTCAGCATTATTGATGGCTACAATAGTATTGATTTTGAATAAAATTGAACCTAAGAGCAGGAACTGCTCAGACTTCGTGGGAGGCATGGAAAGCTCATCTATCCCAGTACCGCTGGCAGTGCTGGTCCTCCGCGGGCCGACTGGACTGCCAGCTCCCGAGACTGACTGTGGTACGGGCACTGCAAGTGGGAAACGGCTTCTTGTGGACAGTCCTTTTGATTCATAGTGTGCTGTTGTACACGCATCCTTCTAAGTACTTCACATACATTTAATTAATCTTGGTTTTTATTATGTCCATTTGGTAGACGAGGAAACTGAGGCTCAGGGAGGTTGAGTAATTTGCCCAAGGTCAGATGCCAAAAAGTAGCAGTCAGAATTTGAACCTAATCTTCTAATTATAAACCATTTCTAAGAGTAATATCAACTTCAAAAATATTAGAACTTGAATATTGAGTACTCTAAACTTTATGAAGTCAGTGTGATTTCTCGTAAGTTTTTTGTTGATTCCTTCAGTAATATATTTTGAAGTTTTTTTAATGTGTCACTTTTTTCATTTTCACAAATCCTTCCTTTAGACAGGATCTAATCCTTGTTTTCTGTTGGTAGACTGATACTTGAACAGATTAGAGTTGCTAGAGAAGTAATTTTGGGAAAAGAAAGTGATTGATTTTTTTGTAGTTTTTCAATTGAGGTAGCAGAGGGCTGCAGGGGCCACATGAAGGCTGTGGGGACAATGTCTCATGCTAGAAGGGATGGTCCACCTTCAGTGAACAGGTGGCAGTCAGCTGGTTTCACTGTAGCAGATGGAAATCTTAAGTCATTGAAATAGAACTGTTTTGCGCATAATTAGATACTTGATAAATTATTGTGGAGTTGCAGTTATTAAAGTGGTAAATGAAGTCCACCATTGGGAATCTGTGTGAAGGGTCTTTGTAGGGAACACTGAAGATTTTTCTTATCCACATCCATTAGCTCTTTTCTGAGACCTCCCCTGTCATAAAAAGGTGGGGACTAAGTAGCTGTGCTTGTGTTGGTCAAAAATGTTGATGGGTGAAATGTGTACAGTTGATTAAAGCCAGCTTAGTCAAATGTTGTGTCTTCTGGAAATTTCCAGTGAGACTCGGCAATTCTTGTTAGAGCTCTATGCTTGAAGTGAAGGAATGTGCACTCAGCTCAGATGGCCTTTCGAGGGCTGCTGATAACAATGGCCAGATGGCAGCAGCTCCTTTCCCAGTGGGATGTCCTATTCAGACCGTGCGGCAGCCTCAGCCCGCTCCACTCTTCCAGCTGTGGAGGCTTGAAGAGCTGAAGTAACTTAGCCAGTGCCTGGTTTCTAAGTACCGACTGCACGAAATACATACATCGCATGCCGTGTTCAGAACGCAACTGTATGCATTATTCTCATGAGAATATGGGCTTTGAATTTAAAGTCAGATAAATCTGTAATAAAATTTTAGTTCAGTTTTTAACTTTACATTTGTTTCCCAAATATAATTGACCATAGGCTTTCTTTTTAAAGAGATGTTCTATAATTTCTTGAGAACTACAGTGTTGTGGAATGTGATTTATGAAATCTTATTAGAGAAGGTATATTGTATCATTGTAAACATAGGTAGAATTTCATAACATTTTTTACATGCTACTTTTCATGCACATTATGCATTTTTCTCTAAATATTTTATAGCTTTATTTTTTATGGTTAATAATATACAGTGGAACCGCGGTTCTCGAACTTAATTTGTTCTGGAAGGCTGTTTGAAAACCGATACAATTTTTCCCATTAGAAATGACGTGAATTG